CAGCCCCCGCCACTTCCTGCAGCCAGGGCCCCCTCGGCGCCAGGCACAGGGTCAGCAGTGATTCATCCAGACCACAGCCTGGGGACACCCTGTGCCTGCTCGCCCAACCCCAGCCCTGTCTGCACCTGGCTGCAGCCCACTCTGAGCCCCTCTACAACAAGCACCCACCTCCTCCTCTGTGGCCACGGCACCCCACCTGCCCCTGGACTGGGCTCAACCCACTCTGCAATAAGCATGACACCCCAATCTCTGGGCACTCCGACCCTTCCACCTTCAGAGGCCCTGGCTGCCCCTTGCTGTTTGTGGCCTTCAAGGTCCCCCGGTGCACCCCTTGGGCTGACATGCCCAGCTGGGCAGGACTGCTACTGAGACAAGGTTGTCCAACCCCCCAACACTGACCCCAGATTGAAAATTCAGAGTGGGGTGTGGTGATCCCCTGGCCCTGGAGCGAACATGTGCGTGCACGCATGCATCTGCAGAACGACAGCTCCACTCTACAATGAGGGGGCTCTGCAGGGAGGGAGGTACCGCCTGGTCCTGACCAATGGGCAGCACTGCAGGACAGTTGGGGGTGGCCATATGGGGGGGAGAATGGTTTTCACTGTTGACTGTCCAGGCCTGCTCCTACTCTGTTCAGTCACAGACTACATGCCCAACTGTTCCACACTGGCTGGTGTGTATCTACAGACCTACCTATGTGCACAGGCCTTCAGTGAGTCCCCTCTGCAAGGACCCCCCTGCAGCAGGACTCGTGAGTTCTCTGTCAACCCCTCCCAGGCCTCAGAGCACACACTCTGCTGGGCTTTGTCCAGGCCTGTTGAGCGAATGATGTCATGAACAAATGAATGAGATGCATGTATTTTCCAGAGCCCTGTGTGGCTGGAACAAACGTTCTGGTGAGGAACTTGATGGCACCCATTCCCCACCCTCCCAGGTCAGTCCAGGAACTGAGGGGATGAAAACCCTAGCATCTTTCCTGCAACCCAGCTGCTGCTGACTGCACACATGTCCATGTGTGTACACCTGGGCCTGTTCGTGTGCGCACCTGGGTATATGTGCCCATGTGGCCAGGTGAGGCCATGCACATGCAGGTGCTACCGTGGCTTGGCCTTGGCCCACAGTGCCATCTTCACTTGCCAGGCCCCTCAGCCATTCACAGAAGGCGCTGTGGGACATGTGGACCTGCCAGAATCTGACCTATCACCCTTTCGCCCCAGAGGCATCTTGCAGAGGCCAGCTCAGCTCCATAGGGCAGTAAGGCTGGGGCAGGGACCATGGTGAGTCCCCAAGACGGGACAGCCGGGGGAGGCTGTCAGTTTCCCAGATCCTGACAAGGCAGGCACCCAGCAAACAACTCTGTTATTTGTACAGAGGAAATGATTATTGTCAGGTTGGCACAGAGGCACCCCGGCCACCAAGGAAAGGAGGGTCCCCATGTCATCTGGCAGAGTAGGCATTATCTCCACTAGCTGGGCAACCACTTCAGTCACCTTCTGCCCAACCTCAGTCCATCTAGGGCCTCCCACACTCCAGCTGACCTGCAGGGTATGTCATAATGGTAGATGACCATCACTCTCCTGACTTCTACAGGTCTTCCTTGCATGCCAGCTGGCCTGGGCTGCAAGCCACTTCCTCTGACAAAGCTCCTTGGTGTTGCCCCCACCCTGTTGTGGCTCCTCCCTGGCCTGGCCAGCCAGGGTGGCTGGTGCCGAGTGACCACCAGTGATGGAACAGGGTCTGGACTGAGTCAGTGCCAGATCCCATCAGCCTAAGGTCCCTGCCCTCACAGGTCCAGCTGGGCCGATTGTGTGGGGACAATGGCTTTCTGAGCCAGGTTCCTCTCTCAGCAGGAAAACCGTAAGAGCCTCCACTTTGCTGCCGCCCACGGCCCCTTTGAAGGGCCTGGGGAGGCCCCAGGCAGACCGCAGCCTTGGAGCCTGTCCCTGGGGCCCCCTCCGCTAGCCTGGCCTGGGCCCAGGCCTCCCCAGGGACTGGCTGCCCCCACCCCGGGCACGTAGCACCGGATGGGAGGGACAGGTACTGACATGTGGGGAGGCAGCCGGTCCCTAAACACGGCGCCAGGGCTTGGATAGACAGTGTCTGAGGCCTGGGCTCAGGAGTTTCTCCCAGAGTTCACCAGAGCTGACGACTCCCAACAAAGCCACTCCACCGTAGTGTCCCCCAAGGGGTCTGGAACTGTGTGTGGGGTGGCTGAATCCTTTCAGAGCCCTGGAGGGTGCCAACCACAGGGAGATGCACTTGAGCTGAGGGAAGATCTAGTATTCAAAGCCAAACGGCTACCTGTCCTCAATAGGACAGGAGATAGCAGAGGCATTGCCCCAGGATATATGCCCTGTCCCACCAAGCCCAGCTGGTCCTGGGGCACTCCCATGCCCAAGATGCAGGGATGTGGAGATTGGGGCCTATCCTGCAGTGAAAGGCACAACTGGGGCTCTTCAGGGACACAAGTGGGGGTGGGCTGGGGTGGCCAGCAGGGTTCTGGGGTCTAATGCTGAGGTTGGCTTGGCCTGGTGGTAGGTGTGAGGAAGCGGTTGGAGCCCCCAGGCAGAAGAGGGGTGGGGCTGCCGGGACCTCCAAGGACAGGTCGCTGCAGGGAGCAGGGCTACTCTGTTCACTACTGTCTCCACTGTCTTGCTGGCTGACGGAGTCCACAGCCCCTGCAAGGGAAGCGGATGCACCTAAGGCCATGATGGGGAGTGGCGGCATCTGGCGCTCCCCCCAGAGGCCCAGACCCACGTGGCTGGCAGGTGTGCCACAAGGTGGGCTTCTGTCTTCGAGAATCGGGAGGCTGCCCTGGGTCCTGCTATGCATGGCCACCAGGGGGCAGACCAGCGGGTGTCCTGGGCACAAAGACAAAATTGCAGGGCATCTCCAAGAGCTCCTCGGGGGAATTGCCAGAGGCTTGGTGTCTAGCCGTGACCCCATCAGTCACTCCCAGTGAGAACTGCAGGCTGCCCCCTCACATCCCTACCTACTGTGGGGGTTGGGAAGGCTGGACACACTCACCTGGCTCCCTCGATCAGGGGGAATGGGTGGCAGGCCCAAGATGACCCAAGCGACTGACAAAAGAGCCAGCCTCAGCAGCCCCACCCTGCCTGGCACAGGACCAGGGAGCAGGGCACAGGGAAGTTGGCCAGGAAAAGCTCTGTGCTTGGGCTGGGATATGTGAAGCACAGGCACCTGGGGCTGCCAGTGGCAGAGCCCAGAACACATGTTCTGGCTGGCTGAGGGGGTTCACCTGTGCCCGCCTTCATGAGGCCCCTAGTCGGCCCTGTTGCTCACTTGGAGAACTGGCCCACCCTGCCTCCCCTGGGGGCGCCAATGGCGCCTGGGGCAGCACGCGGTGGAGGCAGTGGGAGCATGGGCCTCGGGCACACCTGCTGAGTGCAAGAGCCACTGGTGTGACCTCAGAGTCACTGACGCTGGTGGCCACCGGCGAGGGGACAGCCAGAGCAAAGAGCACCCAGGGCATGGTCCAGCAGTCTCAGGAGCACTGATGGGGCTTCATTAAGGTCCAGCCCTGGGTCACAACAGCCCCAGCACTCCTGTCTGGGCCTCTACACCAGCACTCATGTCTGGAGGCCCTGAGCTTGCCTTCCCTGCCTTCCTCTGGGGCAGTGATGGCCACACTAGTGACTCTTCGGCCTGGGAGTGGACACTGACATGATACAGCACCGGTGTGGGCCAGGCGGCTGCAGGTGCCTGGTCAGACACACACCTAGCCCATGGCCCCCGTCCTGCTCTGGGAAGGGGGTGCAGGGCAGGCCTGTTGTGGGGCCTGCAGGTAGAAGTGCCCTCAGACCAGCGGCCACCAGGGTCCAGGGCTCAGCTGCCATCTGGGATCCTGACACAGGTTACTGCCCCCCCTTCCTCCTCAGTTGTTCTCCCCAGGCATGCCCCCTTAGCTTCCCAGTGTGTAGCCTCTCCCCCTGCTGTCCTCAGGGGCTAGACAAGGCCCTCACCTCCCCACCCCTCCCCACCCAGGCAGGTCTTTCTGCAAACACCCTGGATACCACCTCCTGCTCCACCCAACCCTCTGAGTGGAAACCCACCTCACACCCAGCGACCCCAGGGCAGTTCTAGCTGGAGAAGATGCCACCTTCCTACCAAAAGACTGGCAGGCCACCCCACTTCTCACACACCCAAGAGGAGGCCCTTGATAATGGCCCTTTCCATAATTCCCCAAGTAGGAACTCAATGATAGGTTCACCCAGCTACCTCCCAGTCCGCCCTCTCCCACTTCTACCTAACCCCATCCACACACCCGTCCTGCCCCTGCCTGGCCCCAGCACTATGTGCTTCTGCAGGGTCGGCAGTGCGACCTTGCGGGTCCTCAGGGCTCCTCTGCTAAGAACACCCCAGCCCCTGCCTGCTCTGCAGCTGCCCTCTGAACCTCTGGGCACCTGCTCTGCCCCTGCCTGGGTGGTCGCCCCAGCCCTGCTCCTTGTCAGTCAGGCCTCAGTGATACTCTGTGGTTTGGTCCTCCCCATCACTCTTCACTACAGGCTCACTTCCCAGTGTCCTTCCACTGGGTCCCCACGCCTGCTCATGTCCGGCCTAGGCAGACACAGCAGATGCTCGCCCACAGTGACCACAGTTTGTGGGGGCCTAAGGACCCCATAGCCCAGGCACCCCTTCCCACTCAGCAACCTCCGGGCTTCAGGGGCCTCTTCTGTAGGGCTGTGTGCCTGGATGGGCCATCCAGATGGCCAGCAGCCCCTACTCTTCACCTGGGATATAAGTAGGGTCCCTATCTGAGCCAAGTGGCCAGGATTTGGCAGCGGTCAGGTCGGATGGGTACAAGGACCTCCTGGGGGAAGGGCACGGGTGACGCTAGAACAGTCCCAGAGCTGCCCACAGGTGCCCAGCCAGGTGCCTGGGCATGCGGGATGCAGTGTCTCCTGGTCACGCCGCCAGCACATCTGTGCCTGGCACAAGGCCACAGAGTCAGACGAGGAATCACACAAGTGCTCAGCTGGTTCCAGCAGGTGACAGATCTTTCTGCTTCACTAAATCCTGGGGTCCAGGCTGGCCACAGGGTGGGGGAGGGGCACAGCCATGCAGACCCTGTCTCTGCTGCGCCCTGCACCCAGTTCCCCATCAGGAGATAAGGGCTCTCAGGACAGTATGCAGCTAAGAGGCCATGGCTCCTCAGGGAATAGGTGGAGCCACACCCAGGGCTGGGAGCACTGCCCTCCCCTTGGGCCATCCAGGGACTGCACCTGAATGAAGACCCCTGCGGGTGGATCCTGGGCCTTCCCACGAGAGGCCTGGCATGGGGCAACTCATGGAGCAAAGCCAAATCCCACTCTGACAGGAAGTGCCTCTGCTCTCGGCCAGCTCTGGCTCTGTCTGTGAGGTTCGTCCAGTGCTGGGACACCACGTAGGTTAGGCCTGCGTCACCCAGGAGTCTTGTGCACAGGTATGGCAGGGCTGCTGGTCTCTATCTGCTGAGTGCAGCAGGCTGAGCCCAGGTCACCAGCCAGCAGCCTTGGGCTCCCGGTATAGACCCCGTGGTACTGGAGCAGGTAAAAGCCTGTGCCCGGCTGGGAGGCAGGGGACCTTTTCCAGATGACATAGCCATCGAACATGGAAGAGCTGCCCCAACCTTGACCTCCTGCAACAGTCTTCCTGGCCACTGTGCTCCGGCAGAGGGAGCTGGGTGCAAATTGCTTCTCAGGAGGACAGGAAGGAGGTTAGGCTGTGGTGCTCCTGGGCGGACAGCTCAGTAGTGAGTACTGGGGTCTTGAGGCCAGCACTCAGCTTTCCGCATGCTGGTACCAGCGGCAGGGCCGCCCCATGCCTCAATTTCCTTGTAACAGCGACATGACAATGCCAGCCTGGAACGGTTCTTGGATGAATGGACAGCTAGCAGGCCAGGCCATGCTGTGGACCTGCCTTGGGTCTGCCCACATCTGATGAGACACTCGTAGATGGTGGTCCGATTCTCTTGTGGATAGGATTCCTTATGTTGCTCAAAGCATGATCCCAACAGCAAGTGCCACGGAGGTCATGTGTGACTGTGGGACGGACTGTGGTACAGGCGGGGCAGCACCTGACCCGTCACCAGGAGTCTCGACACGTGCGCCTGTGTGTCGTGGGCCGGGAGGCCCGTCTGATCCTCAGGGAGGCCGCTTGGCACCCACCACCAGGACACGGCCAGCCTCAAGGCCACACTTCAATAGCCTTCATCATCGTCGCCGTCACAGCCGTAATCTGCAGAAGAGGACAGCTGTGGAGGCCAAGGACTGCTGCAAGGTGAAAGAGGCCCAACCCTGGCCCCCCAGGCTGCTCCCTAGGCGAGGCTCTGGCTCAAGCCCCACTGTCCTCACCCCATGCCCACCACTGACCAGTCCACCCTTGGGATCCCATCTCCACGTTGTCAAGGACCAACATATTTGTGTGTGCTTACCCAGGAACCCACTCACTGGCAGCGGACTTCCCAGCAGGTCCCATCCCTCTGCGGCAGGCCTCTCTGAGCCTGGCCACCTCTTTATGACACATTTGAGGGCCTCAAGGTCAACATGGCCAGTTTACAAAGTGTCTTAGCTCAGATTTCTTTCCAGGCAGAAAGAGATTTGGTCTGGAGCCCACAGCCTGAATTCAGGGATTGTTAGGCAGGTGGTCTGTGCCTTGGTTTCTCTGGAACCCCGTCACCCCCCATTCTTGTTGGCCCACAGCTTGAGGCTGGACTCACCCACCTGAGTTTAGGGTTTGTTAGGCAGGTGGTCTGTGCCTTGGTTCCTCTGGAGCCCCCCCCACTCCCACTCCTGTTGGCCCGCATGAGGCCGAGCCCACCCACCGCTGCTGCCCATCATCTGCAGGGCGCTGACGCAGGGCTCGCCATCCTCCTCATCAGGGTCCTCCTCGTCTGCCTCCTCATCAGCGTGGTAGGACACAGGTCCACTCTCCACCAAGACTGCCTCTGGCCTGGCTGGCTCGGCCCCGGTGCAGGGGGAGCATGCGGGCAGGGCCTGGAACAAGGGCCGGGCTCTGGGGCAGCAAGAAGTGCAGGTGCCCTCCCTGATGTCCCGGGAGCTGTGCTGCAGCCCTTGGGCTGACCCTGGATGCTCTGTCCTACTAGAGTAGGTCTGAGCATGACCTGGCTCCCAGGGGCTGAGCCAGCACCGACATCCCACCCCAAGGCCTCCAGCTGGCCCTTGTCCCACCCCGTTGGAACACCCAAAAGGACTTTCCTGCTGTTGCAGGACTAGGCCCAAGGACATCAAAGGCTCAGAACCGAGGCTCTGGTCCCAGTAAGGCAGCCTTGGAGGAGCTCTGGCTCAGGGCCCCAGTGACCCCCAGGCCAGCACCTTCAGCTTCCCCAGGACTACCCCCCAAATCACTCCCTTAATTCCTAAGCCAGATCCTGGGCAAAGGCTGCCATCCTCAGGAAGGCCTCACAATAGACCCTGAGCACCCACAGGTGGGAGCCTGTAACATGGGCAGGGGTGTGGCCTCCCACATGGAGGTTCCCTTAGGCTGGGGAGGGGTGGTGTGCTCTGGCTGCTGGGCACATGTGGCTGGGCAACCGGTCCCGGGTCCACAACAGGAGTCTGCTCTCCTTGGCCCTGGCCCAATGCAGCAGGCATGCCCTGCCTATTAAAACCCGAGCCACCACCCTTAGGCCTCGATTCTGCCCATGCCCTCTGTCAGATCAGCTCCTGGCTGCTTGTGGTGGCATGTCTGGGACCAGGAACCAGTGGCTGAACTGCTTCCCAAGGTCCCTCAGTGGTATGGAAAAACACACCTCTCGCACGGCGGCCTTCTTAGCTGGTTGCTTAGACACCAGAGGCCTCAACCTGGAAAAGAAACAGTGTGGTGGCCTCAGCCCATGCCTCCTGGAGGTGCCAAAGCAGCATGCATCCTCACAGTCACTTCTAGCAGAGCATGAGAGCCTGCTCCTACCACCCCATGTGCAGACACTCCTAGGGACACATGACCACGGCTGCCTTGGCCAGGGCACCCACCCTTGCCCAGTGGAGAGGCACCAGCAGCTCCAGGTCCTCTGAGTGCTGCTGTCTGGAAATGCCACCTCCCATAGCCAGCCTGCCCAGTGCCCCTAGAACCCCTCCGCCGAAAGCACCTACTGTCCCTCCCCAGACCTTCCACACACAGAGATGACTTCGAAGCCCAGTGCAGTGGTTCATACCTATAACATAGCTCTCTGGGAGGCCCATACAGGAGAATTGCTTGAGCCTAGGAGTCCCAGACCAGCCTGGGCAATATAGCAAGACCTTGTCTCTACAAAAAATAATTAGTCAGGGGTGATGGCATGCTCCTGTAGTCCCAGCTACTTGGGAGGCTGAGGCGGAAGGACCACCTAAACCCAGGAGGTCGAGGTAAGCTATAATCTTGCCACTGCATTCCAGCCTGAGTGACAGTGAGATCTCCACTCAAAAATTTTTCAAAAGGTGACTTAGACATGCCAAGTCTTCTTGGATCTACTGGGCCCAGCAGGAAAGAGAGACCCCATAGGGGAAGAGGTTGAATCCATGCAGTCATACAGCAGTGACCAGGCTCTGCAGAAAAGTCCAGACTCCCAGAATCCAGAGGCAGCTGTGGCCCTGCCCTACAGCCCAGAGCTCCCCACAGGGGGAGGCCCAACTGGAGGGAGAATACCAGAGTCAATGGGGGACCAGGTTGGGGCCAGCCGGGACTGACCTTCAGAGCTTCCCCTTCCACAGGTGTGACTGGCCACTGTCTCCACAGGACACCTTATGACCCAGAGCAGAAGGGCCAGGCCTCCCAGCAGGTTCTACACACCTGGAGCTCATGCTCATCGTGACCTTGGCCAGTCATGTCAATCCTGGCCAGCCAGGGGCCTGGAGGACCTGCCACTCTGCATGGCTGCTGTCCACTCCCATCACATACCCTCACCCCTGCTGTGCCCAGCTGCCACTTCTCATGGCCCGTCAGAAAATGCTGCTTGGCAGAAAATGCTGCTTGGCAGACTCACACAGCCTGGGGATCTGGAGCCCTAAACAGGGTGGTGGGGGAGGGGGGCGGTCGCATGTGAGCCACCTTGGTCTTCTCTCCTAGAGATGGGCACAGGAGGCCACAGCCCACACCTGCCCCTTTGCCTGTCCCCAGGAGGGACATCCTAGACGGGCTCTGAGGGGCTCAGGCTGGAGAGCAGATGGACCTGCCTGGGCAGGAGAGAGCCTGCAGGTCAAAGCAGTCCCAGTGCCCTGCACCTCCTGGACTGCCTCTCACAGTCAGGAAGTCCTGAGTGACCACAGTGACCAAAGCATGAGGACACATGCTCAGAGGAAGCAGGTCCTGCACCCTTGCATGGACAGCTTGGGTTCTGCGGGAGCACACGTCACAGCACAGGACCAGGGACAGATGACCAGTGGGGAGCATAAGCAGGACAGGTACGGGTAGCCCAAGGCAGTGGAGAGGTGGCTCTGGCTGGTTTCCCAGCAATGAAGACAGGTCACTGCACCCAGGCCACTTCATGCAGCCAACTAGGATGCTGTGGTTGCTGGACTGTGGTAGGTAAACCCCAGAGCTCCTCCATAGCCAAAGGCTCAGCCTGTCTAAGTTCTAGCTTTCTTTCTCCCCCTATACAGGTGGAAGGCTGCCACCCTGTGATCTCCCAGAAGCTTCCCCTCCATGTTGGAACTGCCTGAGCCACCCAGGCCTGGGTCAAGTAGACAAACGTGTGGGCAGAGGGGACTTCCCAGTTCTGAGGCCCCAGCTCCCTTCTCAGGATCTGAAATATTCACGGAACAGATCCAGGTCACCCATGGGGCTTCCCAAGCAGGAAGCAGCGTACACACATACACACACACACACACACACACCACTCTTCATGCACAGACATGAACATATACTACGTGCACACACAGACATGCACACACGCTGTGTGTACTCACACAGACACATGAGCACACAGGTACATAAACACTATGTGCACACAAGTACACATCACATGCACACACACATATGTACACGAGCACATCTGCACGCACACACAGACATATGAACACACACAAAGACACATGAACACACGCCTTCATACACACATGGACAAACACACACAGAAACAAACACACATGGACACACAAACACATACTCTGTAGCTCAAGTCTGGCCAGCAGGAGCTGCCACCTGCACCTGGAGCCAGCCCACGGGTGCCCAGCCCTGGGTACTACCAAAGTCCCAACTGGTCCATGGCAACCCCCAGACCCAAGGCTGCCACCTAAATCTCCAGTCCAGGGGGACAGGACAGTACCTCTTCCCCACGCCCACCATGGGCTCGGCCCCGCTTCTGCTGGCTGGCGTCCTCCTCCGTGACAGCTTCCTGGTGCCTGCCTTATCCTCGAGCCGTGCGTCCTCCTGTGGTGGGCCACCTGCGCCCTTGCTGTTGAGGTCCCGGAGCACGCTGTAGTTGATCTTGCTGGAGATCTTCTTCTGCTCCAGCATCTTCTCAATGGCCTCCCCGGCTGTGCTGGCCTGGATGGGCTCCCTCCGCTTACATGACTTCTTGGGCTCAATGGAAACAGAGGAAAGGCTCCTGAGTGCTAGACATGGGGAGTCGCCCTCACCAGGGTCTCAGGGAGCCCGACCTCTTGGAATGCGCCTAGCCCTTCCAGGTGAGTGGGTGCCTGTGGCAAGCCCCACATCAGCTGGCAGCAAGTCCCCAGGTACATGGCCGGCATGGGTGACAGAGGGGACTCCAAGCAGTGACAGCAGCAACCTGCTACGCAGGCCACACAACACCATCTTGGGTACTTGCCCACCATGCTGGCTTCTGACGATTCCCATTCTGGGAAGGCCTCTGAGATTTCATTCACCTGCCCTTAGGCCAGACGCCCTTGATGTTAATGATACTTCATTTATTCTCCAAGGTCAAAAGCTGCAGCTGCCCAAGGTCCCAGGCCCCTCTTGGGAGCTGTAGCTGCAGCCCACCTCAGGATAAGAGCCTGGTTTCAACCCATGCCACCTCCCACCTGTTCTGCACACCAGGCCCTCCCACAAAGCCCCAAGAAAGCCTGGGATTAGCTGCTGGGTGGGGTGGAGTCCCAGGGCCCTGAACCCAGGGTCCTCCGGGGCAGGCCCCACATTGCTCTCCTGGCTTCACCCACAGGGGGCCTGGCTCACGATCTATCCTGCTCGGTCACTTGAAGGCTCAACCATTTCCAATGTAGCATGTGGCCTGTGTCACATTTGAGCCACCAAGTGAGCAGTGAAGCCAAGTCACTGTGCTAGCCAACAGGATGGAGAGGCTCCAGTCAGCCTTTCCCAGGTCATCAGGATAGCAAGGGACTGATCACAGAGGAGGGGATTCTCAGAGAGGCCCATCCAGATTTCTTGTGTCCCCAACAAGGGACTTAAGTCCAAGGACCTCAGCACCCAGTTTCGAGTCTCAACTCAGGTGCCCGGGTGCCTACGCTCGGAATCTTACCCCATGCTGAGAGGCACGCCTGTCTGCAGTGAAGCCCATATCTGGGCATCTGTAGGCAAGCCAGGCAGGACCCAGCAGCCAGGGATGTGGGTCTGGAGTCAGGGGCATAGACCTCTGGCCACCTGTCCCAGGCCTGGCCCCTGTGGTCACGTAGAAAGACGTGGCACAGGGCACACTACCTTGTGCTCCTTGTAGATGCCCAGCTCCTTCTCCTTGGCAATCCTTGCTTCCTTCTCTGCAAGGCAGACACGGCGGCAGGTCAGCAAGGGCCCAGGTACGGGAGGGGTGGGCAGGCGGCGGGTGGGCAGCAGCACTTACCCCTCTGCTCCCGCAGGTACTCGGCGTTCTCCCGCATCCATAGTTCTGCCTTCACTCGAGCTTCCGACTCGTTCAGGATATACTGGGAGAGCAGGAGGGTGTTGCTGTGAGCTCTCACTAGGCTTCTAAAACCCCGTAGGCAGGTGCCTTCCCACGTGCACTCACGTGGAAGAGGCGTGTGGAGATGCAACTCCATGTGGAGTCTGGGTGGAGGCCTCCTTGCTGAGGGCGACTTGGAGACACCCATCACACTTCGCCTGTCCCAAGGCCAACCCTGTGGGCCACAGACCCTCATGGGCAGCTCATGGGCCCCATGGCACCAGGCCTGGTCAGCAAGTGTGCAGGGCTGTGGGCCCCACAAAGAGCCCAGGAGAGGCCATGAGATGCCAACTTAAAGCAGCCAAGGTCTTGGGACATGAGGCAGTGACATTGGGGAAAGAAGACTTTGTACCTTGAGGACAAGCTCTAAGAGGTCACCTGCGAAGGGCAACTAAGCTCTGGTGGGAATGTAAAGGTGTGCCATGCTCAGGGGCAGCAGCGCCCTCTGTAACTGCACACTCCAATGAAATGACTCCAGTATGACTGCATTTGCCATAGGCCACACACCCAGATGGCAGCAAAGGCCAGGTGCAGAGCTGGGGCCCACCTAAGACCACCCTCACATCAGGGAGGGGCACAAGTCCATCTCATGCCAGAGAGCAATCGCAGGACCAACTCACACCAGGCAGGGCCCACGAGACCACCTCATGCCAAGGAGTGGCCACAAGACCACGTTATGCCAGGGAGACCAGCACCAGGCACTGGAACAGGAGAGAGGAGGCAGCTGGACGCCCCCAGCTGCACTGAGGTCCTCGGCTACAATGCCCACAGGAGCCCCACCCCTTGGGAAGGTGGGAGCATGAACTGCTTACCCTGTCGATCTCAAGGTCGTCAATGCCGCTGAGGTCCAGCTCACCATCCCCCGAAGCATCTTCTGGAAGGAGGTGTGGGTCAGTGTCACGGGAGTCAGGTTTGACTAGAGAAGTGCGCACACCACCCAGACTAGCTCGGGGCCCGAGTTTGGGCCAAGGGGCTTCTGGAAACCCATCTCCTCTGCATGCTCTCCATAGCCACATGGCTATTCCAGAGCTTGCCTTGGGGTGCCAAGGAAAGAGCCCAGGCTGCCAGCTGAAGCAACAAGGACACTTGCCATGTCCACGCTCTTGGTGGGCTGTGAGCTTTCTCTACACCAACAGCCCGAGGGAGGGCACAGCAGCTAGGGGCCCAGCCAGCATCCTGCAGGGTAAAGCCACAGTCCTGGGCTGGGGCAAAGGAGTTCCCCATTGCTGTACCCATGGGTCCAGGGGTAGAAATGAGGGTGAGCCCACGAGTCTAGGCCTAGGGAGCCTTCCATGCTCATGCTCAGATACCCCAAAACTTGCTAGCCACCACCCCCAGCCCTGCACAGTAAGGGGCAGGCCCTGCTCTCCACAGTTCCCTGCGCCTACAGAATCCTATCAACTCCAGCCAATCGGCCAGACTGTCTGGGGTGCTCTTCTGCCACACTGCTCTGTGGCCAAGGCCCAAGATGTCTCCTCAAGACCCCGCAGGGCTCACTTCATTCCCCTGGCTTTCCCATCTCCAGCTGGAATAGCCCTTTCTGGCCAGGTCACTGCATCTCTGGCTGCTCCGGGGCCTTTGCACGTGCCCTCTGCCTGGTGCCAAGGGCAGGGCAAACCCTGCCATCAGGGCCTCTCTGTGCTTGGGTCAGAGGTTGCTCAATGAATATCTGCCAATGACCAAACAGTAACCACTCATAGGTGACCAGAGGCAATGTCTAGGGGTGAAAGGCCATGGGAGGCCTGGGCTCTTGACGGGGGACATGTCCTGGCAGGAAACAGGGGTAGGACTACCCACTTTTCTCCCAGAGCTGCCAGTGTCCTGGCCCTTCCTGCCACTGTGGTTGGTCCAGGCACCATGGGGCAGGGGCAGCTTCCCCTGCCCAGGCACCACATCACTGCCACACTCAAGTTCACCATCCCTGTGATGGTGGAGACGTGACCTCGGTCCAGACTCTCCCTACCAAGTTAAACAAGCAGAGGCCATGAGAGATGCAGGCCCGGCTGTGGGTCCCTGCAGGACCCCTGTTTTCCACAGTGCCTGCACTCTCAGGGACACAGGTCACAGGTCACCAGGAGCTGCCAGGCAGAAGGGCACCTGTGGTAAGCAGATAGTTCCAGTGAGGATGACAAGCCCACCAGGCATTCTGGGCATCGACACATGCCCAGTTCCTTGTGTCAGGACCACTGACGCCTCCCACAGCCCCACTATGCAAGCCCACCCTTCTAGAACCCCACACCTCCCGACAGATGACGGAAGCTTCCAGGTGACTCTGTGAAGGCCGGCCAGAAGGCTCTCCCACTGGTCGCAGTCCCCTCCCCTGGACACTCACTGGCGTCATGGCTCTGGGAGGAGATGCACTCGCGGATGGAGTCTGAGATGCCCAGGCTGGCCGCTGTGGGCAGGGGCCCCAGCAGGGACTCCAGGGCTGGAGGCCGGTTGCCCCCTTCAGGGCTTCCTGCTGCTTCCGAGCCACCAGGGACGGCATCGAGAAGCTCCTGGTAAAAGTCCTTGTTGAGGTGACTGGCCGCGGCCTCCAACTCCTCATCCTCCGTGTCCTCCTCGCCACACAGGCTAGACGCAGTATCCTCGATGGAGCCTACGGAGACACCATCACAGGCCACCTGTCAGCCAGGCAGGAAGCTAGAGTGCCCACTATTATGACAAGAAACACCTCTGTCAAGCTGAGATGATAAGCAGAGAGGGACAGGGCTGTCGGCACATGGCACTGGGACATCCAGGGACAGGAGACAGGACCGTGGGAGCACAGCACTGGACATCCGAGGGACAGGGACCATGGGAACACATGCTGGATATCTAGGGGAGAGGGGATGGGACCATCAGCACATGGCACCAGACGTCCAGGAGAAAGGGTTGGGACCACAGGAACACGGTGCTGGATGCCCGTGTCCAAAAGAACAAGCCTCAACCTACACTTCTTACTTTATGCAGAAATTCACTAAAAATGGATCTGAGACCAAGATGTGAGAACTAGAAGTGTAGACATTTTAGATAAAACATAATACAACAGAACACCTCCATGACTGTAGGTCGGGCAGAAATGTCTTAATCAGACACTAGAATCAGGCACCAAACACATGGATAAAATGGATCTCTGGAATGGCTTTGGAAGGACTCAGAGCCTCTGTCCTTTGCAGATGTTGTCATGACGATGAAAAGACAACCCACAGGCTTATCTCAAATTCCAGACCTGACAGAGGACTTGTATCTAGAACAGACGAACTCCCAAGATACCACCAGAAAACACATGGCCTCATTAAAAGCAGGCAGGGGACCTGAACCAAGGTGTCGATAAGACACACATGTATACACAGGCATGGAGATGCGCCAACACCTTCAGCTACCAAGGAGGAGCAATCTAAACCAAACCAAACACATGAGCCTCCACTTCACAGCTGCCAGAACAGCAGCCACTGAGGCATCCCCTGGGCCAGGCACTTGGAAGGATGGGACAGATGCCCACATCATGCAGTCAACATGGAAACAGCCTGATGGTTTCTTAGAGACTGAAACACCTGCCTCCCATGCAATCTCCAATTCCCCGCCTCAGAACACACCCAAGACAGAAGGAGGTAGGTAGGTCACTGTCCACATAGCTATGCGCCAACAATGAGTTATACACCTGTAATAGTCCTTAACCAGAATAGCGCGACAACTCCAGCTGTTGGATGGATAAATAAGCTCAGCACATCTGTGAAAGCTACAAAATAAGGGATGAGCTAAACTAGATGGCACAAGGTGAGGTGATGAAATGGAGAAAACGCAGCCAGAGGATGACAAGTATATGCCAGGCACCACCACTCACGGTCAAGTCTAAAAAACATGTCCAACCTGCAGGCACATGAACATACGCCAAGCAGTCCCACTTACGTTGAAGTCTGGAAAACATGACTAAGTAGCAAGCACAGACAGAAGCTCAGTGGCCATGTGGGGCAGAAAGGGTGGGTAATGACCCAGGGCCAAGGACATGGTGGTGAGGACGGATGGCAGCCATCTCCATTGTGATGATGGCTTCACAGATGTGTGTGGATGTCAAGACCCCCAAAGAGTGCATTTTAAATATGTGCAGTTTGTTGGGAGTCAACTGCACCCCAATAAAGCTGTTAACGTTATCTTCCCGGGGTAACAGACTAAGGACAGAATGAAGCAGCCCACTCCCTGTGCACCTCTTTTGCCTTCAGCTGAAGCTCACTAGGTGTATATCCAGGGCAACCTGTCTATCCCTAGGCTGCATCCTCAAGCCTGGTCCCAATCAACTCCCCATTTTCATTAGTTCTGTCTGAGCTTCTTCCGAGTCGGCAGGAAGGAGTGACTCCCCGACCATCAGGGGCTTTTCTTGAAAGTGGCGCTGATACCAGCACAAACTCTGCCTTCCGAAGACCCAGTAGGTGTTTCAGGAGAGTTCTCCTGAATTCAGACTTCCAACTCTATGGTTGAAGGTCTAGATTTTATTGGGACTGTTTTTCAAACCCTTTCCACCCTTCAGAGTCAGGTTTTGGTGTCTGTCTTTAGAAAAGTGAATTGGTCACAAAGCTCTACAGAGAACTGCCTTTTTCTTGGACTCCGTCTTGAGACTAGGGTACCGGTCAGTTTTTCCATCCCATCTCAGCACAGAGGTTCAGGTAGAGGATTGGCAGTTGGGCCTGGTGGTCTCATTTTATACACTATACTTTGAAAAACTGCAGCTACAATCCTATTTGTGAAATCCAGCCTTGACTTTCATCTGTGACCCCCCCCCCTTAGTTAATTGCCAGCTGGCTTCACATACAACACTCAGGGGTGACCCCATATAGATACCTGGGTGAGTGGACCCACTCAATCCGATGGCTGCACGCAACAACCAAGAAACTGGGGATCTTTTGAAATACCAGCATACATAGTCGGAAAGGGCTGGCTTTAGAACCAGACAAATTTAAAAAGACACCCATAGCACCACTAAGGAAATTCTGGTCTCTAACTCCTCAGGGGCCTCGAATCCCCTCCCCAGGTCCTGAACCCTTCCCACTCCAGGGCCCCGACTCACACATATCTCAGCCTCTGACCCACACCCCCCATTGACCCCTGACTCTTCCCAGCCTCTGACTCCTCCCTGAAACTCTAACTGTGGCCCACCAGGAGTCACTGTGAACCCCCTTCTGGTTCGGAGGACTGCCAGATTCTCAAACCATTCTTTGCTCAGTTAAACTTTGTGAAATTTGTCTAAAACCTTTCTTTACATTAGTGGTGTATTTGACATAAATCTCCCAGTGATACCCAGGGGAACCGAGCACAGAAACAAAAAATCAAAAGCATCCTACCATACACCTTTACCCAACTATGCAACTGCTGGGACTGTGTCTAGTGTGAATGCTAACAGGACAGGACAGCCTGGTCATAGAGTGCCCTGCAGGAGTCCAGCACAGCTCAATGCTGGGCACCAGCAGGATAGACCACACTTGTCTCTTGGAGAAGACACCCTGCAGACACTTAAGACATCAGCTGCTGAGATGGAGACACTCAGTGGGAACAGGTCGGCAGGTACCTCATCAACATGACATACCCAATGCTCACACCCTGCATCCTAGGGTCCCCAGAGGCCTTGCCTGGAAGCCAGGGGTCACGCCCAGGATACTACCACACTTCAGTCAGGTGCCAAAAGACCAGACAATGGGTTCGACGCAAGAAAGAAAAGGTGGACTAAAAATTGGTGCAGAACAGTGAAGAATCACCACTTGCAGATGACACAACAGATCGCTTGGAAAGCCCAGGAAAGAACTGAAACCTGCTGAGAGTGATGACAGAATTCCCCACACACAAGAGCATAAAGCCCACACGTGGCAATCAGTGTCGTTCACCAACAGCAGGCAGCGTAGATACCCAGGACCACTCATGACAGCCGCAGACATGGAGGCTTAGCCTGGACTCCAAGCATGCAGGCTTTCCATGGGATAAGACACCCAGGACAGCTCATGACAGCCATAGATATGGTGTTTCGTACTGGACCACAGGCATGCAGGCTGCCCACAGGAGGAGACACCTAGGACCACTCACAATAGCCACACACATGGTGACTCAGCCTGGACCACAGATATATGGGCTGCTCATGGGAAGAGGTGCCCAGGACCATGCACAATAGTCAAAAACATGACAGTTCAGCCTGAACCATGGGAGAGGACACCCAGGACCACTCACAATGGCCATGGACATGGCAGCACAGCCTGGACTTGGGTGCACAGGCTGCCTACGAGAAGACACACCCAGGACCTTCACAACAGCCATGAACATGGTGGTTTGACCTAGATCATGGGAGGAGACACCCAGGACCACTCACGACAGCCACAGATGTAGTGGCTCAGGCTGGACCACAAGTACATGGGCTGACCATGGGAAGATACACCCAAGACCACTTACAATAGTCACTGACATAGCAGCCTGGTCTGGACCACAGGAAGAGACATGCAGGACCACTCACAACAGCCACAGACATGGTGGCTCTGCCAAGATCGCAGGAGCGTGGGCTGCCCATGGGAGACACCCAAGAGGGAAGGGTAGCCTCAGGGGGCAGAGTCAGGGATGGGTGAGGATGGCACCCACTTCCCCCAAGCTGCGGGAGACCAGGACTGGACTGAGAGGGGCAGACAAGAGGATCCCAAGGTCCACATGCAAGTCAACCAGAGTGGCTACAAAGGGAGGGAGGGTGTGAGAAGAGGCCACGTCAGTCCAGGTCTTGGAAGTCCCATGAGGTGGCAGGAGGCCCCAGAGTATGGTGCTACTCCACACAGAGCAGGGGGCCCAGGCCTAGCAGTGCCAACACAGGTGGCGTCACACAACCAAGGGGAGGAGCGGTCCCTGGAGCAGGAAGGCAGCCAGCACCCCTCCCTGTCCCACAGCCAAGATGGGACAAGGACACCTGCCTAAGCAGCATAGAGGCTGCAAAGGCTCCAGACTAGAAACCAGGCATGCATTAACACCACTGGAGGGGACACAGTAGGGTACCTGAACCCCAGTCGGCTTCTGTGGACCGCAAGCCGAGTGCCTGGGGAAGGTAATACCATGGGGGTGGTGAGCTCACCCCAGGCTACCCACACAGGGCTGAGGTCTCTCTCATGGTCAGCAGCCAGCATCAGGTGTGCCGAGTGTGAGAACAGAGACCCCAGAGGGGCCTGGGAACCAAGCTGGACTTGAAGAGGCCTGGCTAAGCCGGGCTCAGTGGCTCAGCCTGTAATCCCAGCACTTTGGGAGGCCAAGGTGAGTGGATTGCCTGAGCCCGCGGCAACTTGGCGAGATCTGGTCTCTACAATAAATCAAAAATTAGCTGGGTGTGGTAGCATGTGCCTGTAGTTCCGGCTACTTGGAAGGCTGAGGCGGAAGGATCGCGGGAGCCCAGCAGGTCAATGCTGTGGTGGCCAGAAAAAAAAGAAAAGGCCTGGTGGGTGGACACAGGGACGAGGGATGTAGTTGGGGAGATGGTGGGCAGGGAGGAGTGTCAAGGGGCTGTGGGACGCTCAGTACAGGTGTTGGGGCCAGGGGTGGCCCTATGATGGAGGATCAGATGCCAAGAAGGGGACATCAGGAGGCGTGGGGTCTAAGGTCAGCACATGGGAGGCACTGGCGGCTGGGGCCTCGGGCCTGGTGCTGAGTCCTGAGTCTGGGGGCTGGGGCACTCACCATCCTTCAAGCTGGCCAGGGCCCTCTTCGCCTTTGGCCGGCTGTTCTCCAGCTCAATCTCGATCGCATCCTGGTAACTGGAGATCTCACCTGAGTAGTGAGGTAAAGCACACGGTCAGCACAAAGTCAGCCCTTCTGATGACATAGGGTGTCTGCACGGGAAGTTGTGTTACCTTCAACCTCCTCCAGCTTCTTTGACAGGACTTGTTCGAGCTGAAAGAGAGGGACAAGAGCACTTGGTGAGGGCGCTGGTTGCCCATGGAGCCTCTGGCACACCCACCCCCACGAGCCCCAGGCAAGTGAAGCAAGCTTCACTGGTGTCTACCCTCAGGCCCCGCCTCCTGGGAGAGGCACCTGCAGACCCCATGGGACACCACAGCTTTAGAACCCACATAGTACACATGCTCCACACGCTCAGGACGCGGGTGCTCAGTATCCTCGTGAGCCAGGCCTGCCTTGAAGCGGGTGTTGAGGGTGCTTCTCTGTGTCCTCCCTGGGTTCAGCATGCCCTCCTAGTCCCTCCACCACTGCAGGACCCCAGGGCAGCCCTGTTTCTACAGATCTGACGTGTCAGAATGAGGCCTGAAGGCCCAGAACAAGGTAAAGGAGGAAAGTGTGCCCCCAGGGACTGCTTCGGGGCAATGGGGCACCTGCTTCCTCACTTGTTAGTATATTCCAAGTATGCAGCACTTGAGGATCCACCTTCTGCTCTCAAGTTAGAACAAACCGGACTGGAAGCACTTGTGCAGGGGAGTGCAGAGGGGCGGGAGGCGCCCAGGCACTCTGTGAAGGATGCAGTTTGGGGCAGCTAAACCTAGGCCACTACTCAACTCCTGACAGAGCTGCCCACATGCTTCTGCTCCATGCACATGGACTTGACAAGAGCTGTGTGTGCAGGATATTGGCTGCAAATGGTGTGGGACGCAAGGCCTGACAGGCAGCTCCATCCTACCTGCTTCATCCGTAGCTTCCTCTGGCCCGCCGTGTATGAGGGGGGATCACACTCCTCCTCTAGGTCAATCTTCATGAACTCATCGATGGTCAGCTGACTGGTGGGGGTGTCTTCAAACTCTGTGAGCCTAAACAGATGTGAGATGAGTCAGAGTCTGACAAGAAAGTGGAGAGCAAGGTACACAGAACAGTCCCTCTGCAGGACCTGCACCTGGCCACATGCAGGGCACAAAGGACAGTCCCTATGCGGGCCTGTGCCTGGCCACACATGGGGTTCACAGGAGGTACCCTCCATAGGGCCTGTACCTGGCTACATGTGGGGCTCACAGGACAGTCCATCCACACACCCTGCACCTGATCACATGCGGGGATCACAGAAAGGTCCCTCTGTGCGGCTGGCAGCACTCAGTCCCCGAGAGAAAAGCCCAGGCACCAATGGCAAACCTCAGTCTTTGAAAGAAAAGCCTATGGACACCCTTGACCCTTCCATACACAAGCTCAGGGTCCCGGTCAGAGAGGCAGTGAAGACCCAGGAGGAAGGAGGCCATAAGAACCTCCCCACTAGCAGCGCAGGCAGGTACTGGCAGGAGGGACTCTGCGTCCAGACCCGCCAGCCCAGTTCTCAACAACCTCTGCAGCACACATAACCCCACAACGTCAAATATAAGAGTGCTTGAAAAGGCAGGGGTCACACATCCAAAACAACATAATTCTCTATCTGTCCCTGGATGCTGCAACAGGATGGGACCTCAGCTGGAAACAGCAATCGATGCTGGGACTGTAGTAAATATAGTAGTGCTGGCAGGCCTGCAATTTCGCCGTCACAGTGAGTTTGAGGAGCCCCTGTGGACACTGTATCCTGAGCAGGGGTACAAGCCCTACCCCTGCCTGCCCAGCTCACTGAGCAACTCAGATACACAGATGTGATGGCCTCTTGTAGGACTTGGGCTTCTCATAGTATGACAGGTCACTCAGGTTCTCCAAGTCCAGGACAGGTCACACTGAACGGGATGGACGAGGCCTCTCACTAACACATCCAAGACAACATCCTGCGGCCTCCTGTGACCTGGGCCATGCTGCAAACAACCCTCCCCCTCCACTTAACAGACCCTGGCACAGAAGAAACACCTTTACTGGACAGGCGGCCTGGAAGGACTGGCAGAGGACACTCTGGAGGGAGGTGGGCAGCCCACCCCACAAGCACATCCAAGCCCTGTGTGATGTGACCAGGCCAGGCTGGGACCTGACCCACAGCTAGGCCAGGGAACAGCAGGACCCCAGAAGGTGGCCGCAGTTCCAGCAAGCAGGCCTCACCTTGCCACACAAAACATCTGTGTGCCCCCTTGCTGTGAACACAATCACCTACCTCTTTCGTAGGGTGGACTCGCAAACTTTGACCACACTGATGACCTCTTTGACGGTCCTCCTGAAATCATGCATTCTGGCCGCAACCAGCAGTGCTGGAAAAGAACAAGAGGGTCCACAGAACCCGCCTGCTGTACCCACGACACACTCCTGCATGAGCTGTGTCTCACTCCAGCAGTGAGACCTTTGCCTGGTACAGCCACTCCAGGGGAGTGACAGGCTGACTGGGTGGCACCCATACTTTCCTGGACAGGGGCACCCCAGACCATCCTGCATCTTGCCTTGCTGTGGATAGTGGTGCCTTCCACTCCACCTTAGACACAGGAGACTTAAGACAGGGGCCTTAAGAGCTTTGTGTAACCCTTAAGAGCTTTGTGTAACCCTTCAGAGCAAATGTGCTAATGTGAGATGACACGTGCAGTGAAATGCTGGTCATGATGGAAGCTGAGAATTCTGTGGACATGGCTGGGCCAGGGAGGAAGGTGAGAAACCACAATTGGTGCTGACACACAGTCACAAGGTTGCAGCGGGCCCAAGAGGCCCGGAATCCACAGTGCAACGTGGTACTCAGATCTGCAGAGGGAACTGGATCTCGGGCAGCATGAGTCCTGCTGCTAGCGGAGTGCAAGGACACTTGGCTCCTGGAAAAGGCATGGGGCCTGGAGGCGCTAGAGGAGGCATGAGGGCCCTGCTGGCTGGGGGCTCCTCCTTGATAGGGCCTCCAGGTCCACAGCTGGTATAGGCAACCAGGCCATAGCCATGGCCATGTCAGCCCAGCAGCACCAAGAAAGGAGCAAGAGGAAGAGGATATGTCATGATGGCAGCCTGGGGGATCATGAGAGGGCGGCCAGAACACTTCCCCTGCTCTGAACAGGGGCAGGAGGGAGGCCTGAAAGGCCTGGGCACCCTCTGCAGTAACAACCCGGTGACTCAGATGACAGGCTGCACTGCAACCCACACCGGGAGCCAGGCATCCGTAGACCACGGCAGGGTTAGCTGTGCAGCAGGGCCCACCCTGAAGGTCCCATTCCTGAAACCCAGGACCTGCAGAGGCTGGGAGGAGCCAGTGGGAGTCCTGGAGGGCTGAGGATGTGCGGGCCAGGCCAGCACTGGGCATGAGAGGCTGCAGGCAGCTCCTGGTACACAGCTGGCCTGGAAACACACTGCAGCCCAGGCTCAGATGGCTCAAGGTGGCACAGGTGACCAAGACCAAGGCCGCCACCCCAGAGAAGTGCCAGGTTCCTGTTGTACCTGCTCCACAGAGACCTGAGGGCCGCCGGCCGGTGTGCATCCAGTCCCTCTTCATCCTCTGCAGCAGCCGCAGGGCCGTCATGGACACCTCATGGTTCTTGTCCCCAAACTCCAGCAGGTGTGCGAAGCGCGGGATGTACAGGCACGGGTCTGCAGGGACACAGGCGCCTCACTCACCTGCCACACACAGCCTGGGTGAGGCCACTGCATGTCTCTCCACACATGGCCCCAGGTGAGGCCACTGGACGTCCTTCCAAGCACGCAGGCTCCCGTGCCTCAGTTGCCTGCCACGCATAGTAAGGCCACCTCATGTCTCTCCACGCATGCAGGCTCCCCACACCTTAGCCCACCTGCCACGCACAGCCCGGGTAAGGCCACCACATGTCCCTTCACACCCGTGGGCTCCCTAGGCCTCTCCCCTGACAGCCTCCCTGTCCTTGGCTGGAACAGTTGCAAATGCTGCTGGGGGAACAGCCACAGCCCTCCTCCACCAGGGGCCTGCCGCAGAAATGCTGGACGCAGGCAGGGGCGCACTGCAGGGGGCACCAGACATCGCAGCACCCTCACAGCCGCCCAGCTCAGGGCACAGAGGGGCTCATTCCCAGCAGCCGCCCCTCCACATCATGAAGATGGCACCCCACCCCCAGCAATGGTCTCTGGGACATCAGGGCAGCATGGGCACAGACTGAACACATCCCACCCTTGAATTCACTGGCATATATGGGTGGGAGAGGGAATGACGTGTCGCAGGGGGCATGTGCACAGAGGCCTGGCGCAGGGCTGGGTGTGGGGAAGACAAGGACCACGAAGTTCACAGCCTTCCCACCGCGGGACTCCCACACCATGTCTGGAACTCAGCTGACAGGGACAACATCATGAGTGCATGGAAGGACAACACAAGGTTCCATGACAGAATAGCAGGGGGTGAACCCTGCAGGTAGGACTTGTGAAGGAAGCGCCACTGAGGTTGAGCCTGGGGAGGAGACGGCCAGGGGAGAGCAGGGCATGGCCGGGCTGGAAGCAGGCACGTGGGCAGATGGTGACGGAGGAGTGGGCCCAAGGCACAGGGAACCCGGAGCCCAGTGGCTCACCCGAAGCTCTCCTTCCAGGGCCTTGACCAACCTGTCTACCAGCCTCCCTCAGTGGCATCAGCTCAGTGGCTGATGCTACTGACTCTGGGCCCTGGAAGTCCCATGAGACCCTACAGGTGCCCCATCTGACCCCAGCTCCTGTACAAAACCCAGGGAAAGTTTCTGAGGCCAGGAAAATGGAGCAGCCTGGCAGCCACCCCGAGCAGCCTGGTCCCCAGGACCTTGTGGATACAAGTAGTGTTTCCCACATGTCACGACTGTGTGGCTATGATGTGAATGAGTCCCAACCGCCATCCCAAATAACAGAAAATTTAAAATTGACAAAATAAATTATTTAAAGTAGGCAAAAAGGATCAAAAAAGAATAAAGTAAATAAATAAGTTACCACTATTAAGAAAGAATTTTAAAAATCCAAAAGCCAGAGAGAGACCTACAGATAGATGGAACATAGCAGAGTCCAGAAATGCACCCCTTGTAGATGGGAAGGTAACTTCTACAAGGGCTCCAAGGACCTGTCTTAAAGAATGGTCTCTTTAACGAGTGGTGCTGGGAAAACCAGATATCCAGATGCAAAGAAGTGAAGATGGACCCTCATCTTATATCATCTACAGAAATGAACTTACAACAGATTAAAGACCTAAACATAGACTCAAAGTTATAAAAACCAGCAAACATAGGCAAAAGCTTTACAACATTGGTCTTGGCAATAATTTCTTGAACAACACCAAAAGCAAGTGATACAAAGGCAAAAATAAGACAGATGGGACAACTTCAAACTAAGAAGTTTCTGCACAACAAAGGATTCCATCAACAGATAGAAAAGGCATCCAAAGGAGAGGAATAAGACATCTGCAAACCATATATCTGATAAGAAGTTAAATATCCGCCTACAACTCAATAACAACAAAAAAACTAATTAAAAGTGGGAGAACCACCTGAGTAACAATGTCTTCAAAGAAGATATGCAAATTGCCACCAAGCAAATACAATTCATCCTTACAAAGGAAGGAAATTCTGATACCTGCTACAACAGGGATAGACACCAAGAACACTATGTGAGTGAAATAAACCAGACACCAAAGTACAAATACTGTACAATCCCACTTAAAAGAGGTTCCTAGACTAGCTAAACTTATAAAGACAGAAAGTAGAATGGTAGGTGCCAGGGGCTGGGGGGAAGGAGAATTAGAAAGCAATTCTTCAACAGATATAAAGTTTTAATTATGCAAGATCAGTAAGTTCTAGATATCTGCTGTACAACAATGTGCATATAGGCTGGGCGCAGTAGCTCATGCCTGTAACCCCACCACTTTGGAAGGCCAAGGCAGGAGGACTGCGTGAGCCCAGGAGTTCGAGACCAGCCTGGGCAACTTAGCAAGACCCCATCTCTACAAAAAAAGCCAAAAAATTAGCCATGCATGGTGGTGGTGCTCGCCTGTAACTCCAGCTACTCGGGAGGCTGAGACAGAAGGATCACCTGAGCCCAGGAGATCGAGGCTGTGGTGAGCCAGGATCACATCACTACACTCCAGTCTGGGTGACAGAGTGAGACCATGTCTCAAAAAAAAAAAAAAGAAAAAAAGCATATATAATTACAATAATGTAACGTACATTAAAAAAACTTGAGGCAAATTTTATGTTTTTTAAAATCATAACATAGAGTTGGTACTCAAAAAAAATCAATAAGCATACAAATTTCAATCAAGCCAAATCAAAAGAAAAAAGAAAAGCAAATAGACATTTAACATAAAAAAGGGGCCACAGAGGTAGTGATTTTAACTGACTAAATACTATACAGATTGTTATAATACATTTAATTTCAAAGTGCAAAACACGGCTTCTCTTCTTTTACTGAAATACACGAATTTTTAGATATTCACACCCCTCACAGCACCACCCACATCAAGATTCTGACTACCTCTGACTGCCCCACAAGCCCCCGTCCCCTCCTGAGCCAGTAGTCCACACAGCATGACTGTAGCTGCCCGTTCTCACACAGCCTGCTGAACCACTGCAGCCTGCTGGCCCTTCCTGCTGCTCATGGACACGTGGCCCGTCTCTACTCTGGCCATTTCGGTTTTCTCCTGGAAACTCTCATGCCCTTTACTGTCTTCTAAGAAAATAGGCAGGACAGAAGCCACGGTCACAGCAGCCTGCCTGTCTGCCATGGGGTGCCATACTGAAATCCAGGCTATGGCCTGTAGTCATATCCTTGGTGGGCACACACACATCTTCTCTTGGGACTCCCTGCATGCCAGTGCATGCACTGCAGCTTTTCAAAGGGGCTGACCGTGCCCAGTCCCACTCTGCCTGCAGCATGGGCTCCAGCTGTTCTGCCCTCACCAGCGCTGCATGTCATCCATCTCTTTAAGAGGTCTCAACCACCTGGGGGCTGGTGGTGCCCCATTCCTCAGGCCACTAAGGATGTGAGCCCTTTGGGCCATCTGGATAGTTGTTTTTCACATCTGTTGTCCCTTTTCTTGATTCAGGGTCTCACTCTATTGCCCAAGCTGGAGTGCAGTGGCACGATCCTGGCACACCACAGCCTTGACCTTCCTGGGCTTAGACAATCATTCCACTTCAGTCTCCCAAGTAGATGCAACTACAGGTGCACACCACCATACCCAGCCTAATTGTTTAATTTCTGTAGAGACAAGGTCTTGCTAGTCTGGTCTCGAACTCCTGGGCTCAAGCAATCCTCATGCCTCAGCCTCCCGAAGTGCTAGGATTACAGGCATGAGCCAACACACCTGACCTTGTTGCCCATTTTTTTAAACATTGGGTTGTCAGTCTTTGTCTTCCTGCCTTGTGTTCTTCATCTATCCTGGATAGCACTTTGTTGGAAATACAGCAAGGATCTTCTGAAAGAGATGCTCTCCTAGGGAACATTTACTAAAATAGAGCAGGTTGGAAACCTGGATAGCCTGAGAACCACCACAGGAGAAAAAAGAGCACGTTCACTTTTCAGCCCAAGGTGGGGTGATGGGGTGACTCACTGCCCAGGCTCTGCACTGCTCAGCTGTGTATTGGACATCCTCCTGTGTGTAGACATTATGGAAGACACAGCATGGGAAATACAGGATGTTACACATGCCCCAGGCAAGGAAGCATCCCTCCCAGCAAAGCCTCAAGCTGCTCCCCTTAATACATGGCCTGGGGCAGGAGACACAGCCTCTGACATCTGGGCCCCTCAGTAGTAAGGCAGGAGCCCAGTGTCACCCACCACCCCAGCCTGCTGGGCAGCTGTGCATGGAGTACACCAAGGAGCTGGTGACACCTGAATAGCTAGAGGGTCACCAGGTGAGCCACCAGGCATGATATCCCAACAGGGAAAGGAAAGCCGTGACCAGCATCCAAAGACTGACTAGCAAAGGTCACTTCTGATGGACTGACAGAGGAAGGGGAGAGCCCCCAGGAGCCCAGTCTCCGGGGCTGATTGCCTAGGACCAAATCCCAACTTCTCCACCCACTAGCTGTGTGATCTTGAGCATGTTACTAACCTCTCTGTGTCAGTTTACTCATGGGAAATGGCAGTCCCTGCCTCCTGGGTTAATCTACACAAAGCACTCAGCAGGATGGAAAGTGCTACCTAGGAGCGTTTACTTCCAGTATCTGCAGTAATCTCAATCACTAAGTGTTTGAACGATTAGAAAAAGACTACCAGGATGGGTAATCCCAGCACTTTGGGAGGCCCAGGTGGGAGGATCGCTTGAGCCCAGGGAATTCAAAACCAGTCTAGGCAACATAGCAAGACCTCATCTCCACAAAAAAATTTTAAAAAATGAGTCAGGCATGACGACATGCACCTATAGTCCCATTTATCTGGGAGGCTAAGAGAGAAGGTTCGCCTGAGCCCAGAAGACAGAGGACGTGACTGTGTCACTGCATTCCAGCCTGGGTGACACAGTGAGACCCCTACTTGGAAAAAGAAAAGAAAAAGACTACCAAAAATCTAATAAAAAGTGGTAAAAGGCATAAACAGAAAATCCACAAAAAACTACAAAGAGCCAGTAAACATAGAAAAACATTCAGCTGTACTCCTAGAGAAACAAGCTAAAAGAGAGATACAACTTTTCACGTATAATATTACAAAGGTTAGGAATACGGTGGGGGCTACAAGACTGGAGAAACACTCCCGAGGGGTGGAAACCGGTAGGATGAAGGGAGGGGCTGCACACCCGGACCCCTCCAGAGGGAAAACAAAGAAACGATGCTCAGAGCCAGCATTTCACTACTCTGAAACTGTCTTACAAAAGAAAGAAGGACGTTCAGTGCAGCATTTGTCCTCATGCCATAAGGCCAAGAGAGCGTGACCTGGGGTTCCCACATCAGATGCCACCAGGCCTTCAAAGTTACCCAGGTGGGTGCGCGGGTCCTGGTGAGGTAAAAGCGCAGGTAGGGGCGCCCCCGGGTACTCATGTCCCAGGACCCAAGCCCCGGTGGGGGAAGCCATACGCCGTCAGGAGCCATCTCCTTCAAAAAGAAGAGTACTGCTTCTCGACGTCGGGCTCTTCCATAGGACGTGAGCGTCCTGCATTCCAGTAAGGGATGACAAAAGACGAACTGATTAAAAGATAGGACAGAGCGGAAACGGAGGAGACTGTTCAGGGGAGCAGCTCGCGTCTTTGGTGGGAGAGGTGCCTCCTCGCCTGGGGCACCCCCGAGGGCTCCACAGGGGCGGGGCCGCGGGACGACAGCGACTTCGCGAGGCGGGGCCTCCGGCGCGCGCCGTGACGTACCACGATGCGCCGTGACGCACCCCAACGCGCCGGCAGCAACGGGTACGGGCAGGGCAGGCGGGACTGCGCCC